GAGAAAGGTAAAAGACAGTTCCTGCCCTCAGAGGAGCTCACATTCTAGAGGAGAGACAATGTGTAAACAAATATATACAAACAAAATATATGCAGAATAAAATAAGAAGTAATCCACAGAGGGAAGGCTCTAGAATTAAGCATGGTGAAAAAAAAAAGGGGGCTTCTTATAAGATTTTAGTTCAGACTTGAAGGAAGCTAAGAGGCAGAGATAAGGAGAGAGAGAGAGAGAGAGAGAGAGAGAGAGAGAGAGAGCGCATTCCAGGCATGGGGGAGGAGGGGTGGAGGTGGGTAGGGTAGCCAGTGAAAATGCCCTGAGTTGGGAGATGGAGTGTCTTATTCAATGAATAACAAAGAGCCAGGTGTCCTGGTGCCAGTTATGGATAATGTTGCTTTTACACATAGAAGACACTCACTAGTTGTTCCTGAATTACAAGGATGGTGGATTAGATGAAAGTTGCACAGGATAGATAAGTATGGATGGTCTATGATCAGATAACAAAGTATTAGAGATGATGATGACAGGACATCTCTGAGGCATGCTATCAGACATATCTCAATCAATGGTCTAATGGTTGTTTCATTTTTAGAACATGAAACCTATCTTATAAACATTAAAATCTTATTCTAGTGTTTCATCAAGGCATGGATGTGACCCATAGAAGGGTATGGCAGTGGGGCACAATTTCTAGTAGATTCCTGGAATTGGATCTATAGAGCTGGTTTTTCAAGAACCAGACAGACCATCTAAGTTCATACAGGCTTATCATAAGGTTGTTAGCAATTATAGCTATGTATAATTAGCTATAGCAACTCACAGAGATTGTTTATTAAGTACTAGGTGGGCTAAGATTTGTGTCAATGAAGTGAGCACCTACACCAAAGAGATTATGGCTCCCTGAAATGTTGAAATACAGACAACTAGACAAAAATTAGCTGTATTACTCAGTCCAAAAATTGTACTCAACAATTATTAAGTACTTACTGTATTCAAAACCTTGTGCTAGGATTTGCTGATGAGCAACAAGATAGTTGGTTCCCTAAAGAAAATGACAATCTATGAGGGATGCTGAGACATATACTTAAATAAGTCAGCTATGGGCTGTAACGTTATAAGAACAAAGAAGGTCTAGACAAAGTGCTACAAGAACCAAGAGGAAGGAAAGGACATTTTCAAATGAGAAAATGAGGGAAGGCTTCATAGAGGAGGTAACGCCTGAGCTGACACTTGAAGGGGAAAGAAATGAGGAGAATCTGCATAGGCTGATTCTGATAAGCACTGATAAGATGTCCAAAAGCCACTGCTTTTTTAGGAGCTCCTTGTGGTGAACGTGGGTAGTGAGGAGGCAGAGTGGATAGCGTACCAGGCCTGGAGTCAAGAAGATTCCTCTTCTTGAGTTCAAATCTGGCCTCAGACACTTATGGCCATGTGACCCTGGGCCAGTCACTTCACCCTATTTGTCTCAGTTTCCTCATCTATAAAATTAGCTGGAGAAGGAAATACCAAATCATTCCAGTATCTTTGCCTGGAAAACCCCAAATGAGGTCACAAAGAGTGGGATAGAACTGAAATGACTGAATAACAACAATCATCATTGTAGTATAAACTTGAGAATCCTCACTCGGCTACAAAGAAAAAGAAAAGTCCTATGAGAGGCATCATGAGGGCCCAGGACAAGGAAAATTCTCACCTTGTTCAGTACTTACTAGAAAGTAAAGGAGCATAACCATTCTCCTCTAGCTGCATGCCTGTTGCAGTTCTGACATTCTATTTCTCCTACATAGCTACACATGTATTTTCTTCTCTTTCACACTTACAAAGCATGGTACAATGCAAACAAAATTGAGTTTTGCTACACCTTGGTGACAGATTAACATGTTTTATTTAATTGAACATTCCTGAGGTTTAGTTCCCTTTGGAGCTTGGTTTAGCTTCTCTTTGTAAAGCTCTTTTTCACTGACGTACAGATTCACAGAATCATAGAATTAGAGGGAATTTCAATGGTCATCTAGTCTTTGTTTCTACCTGAAACATGAACACTTTGTGCTATTTCTTAAAAATGGCCATCTAGTATTGAGAGGTCTTTACTATAAGGACCTCACTGCTTCCCAAGGGCATCCAATTTAGGGTAGCTCCAATCTTTGGGAACTTCTCCTTTTTTTGGGCTGAGTCTGGCTCCTTTGCAGCTTTTATTCCTTAGTTCTACATCTGTGGCCAAATAGCTGTTATGTCTTTCCTAAAGCTTCCTCCCCTATAGGTTAAACATTCCCAGTTGCTTTGACTGATCTTTGGATGATGTGACTTCCAAGCCCTTTAAAATCCTGGTCACCTCAGTCTTGGAGTGCTTTAGCTTGCTCAAATTCTTCCTAAAACATGGTGCCCAGAACTGAACGTATTATTCTAAATGTGCCCTGGCCATTTCAGAATACCTTGGTACTGTTGTTATTCAGTTATTTCAGTCATGTCTGATTCTTTGTGACCCCATTTAGGGTTTTCTTGGCTAAGATAGTGGAGCAGTTTGTCATTTCCTTCTCTAGCTCATTTTACAGATGAGGAAACTGAGGCAAACAGGGTTAAGTGACTTGCCCAGGGTCACACAGTTAGTAAATATCTGAAGCTAGATTTGAACTCAGGAAGATGAGTCTTCCTGACTCTGACCTGGTGCTCTATCCACTGCACCAGCTAGTTGTCCTTCATTCTACATTGGTACTGTTATCTCCCATATTCTGGATACCATATCTTTTGTTTGTTTTTATTTATTTTTTTTTTTGGCAAAGCAATTGGGGTTAATGACTTGCCCAGGTCACACAACTACTAAGTGTCAAGTGTCTGGTCTGAGAACAGATTTCAACGCAGGTCCTCCTGACTCCAGGCCCGGTGCTCTATCCATTGCACCACCTAGCTGCCTCCTGTTACCATGTCTTTTTAATGGAGCAGGTAGGCGCACAGGGGATAGAGTGCAGGGCCTGGAGTCAGGAAGACTCCTGACTTCAAATCTGGCCTCAGATACTTACTAGCAGTGTGACCCTGGGCAACTCATTTCACCCAGTTTGCCTCAGTTTCCTCTTCTGTAAAATGAGCTGGAGAAGGAAATGGCAAACCACTCCAGAATCTTTCCAAGAAAACCCCAAATGGGGTCATGAAGAGTCAGACAGGACTGAAACAACTGAACAACAAAATGCCTTTTTATTATATTTATTTTTATTTGTATTTTTTATTTATTTTTTATTTTATTTTATTTTTATTTTTAGGCAGTTGGGGTTAAGTGACTTACCCAGGGTCACACAGCTAGTATGTGTCAAGCATTTGGTCTGAGGCCGGATTTGAACTCAGGTCCTCCTGACTTCAGGGCTGGTGCTCTATTTTTTTTTTAATTTAATTTAATTTTTTATTTTTAACAAAATGCCTTTTTAAAGCAGCTTATAATAGTATTACCTTTTTTTGGAGACCACATCACACTTTTAACTAGTTTTGAGCTTACAATCTACTAAAACCCCCAGGTCTTTTTCCATACAAACTGTCGTTTAGCCCCTTCACCCCCATGTGGTACTTACAAAGTTGATTCCTTGAGTGAAAGTGTGGAAACTTTTATCCCGATTGAATTTTAATCTTCTCCTATTCTGCCCAATATTCCCGCTTGTTGAGGTATTCTTGTGATCCAACTTGTTAATTTCTCTCTCAGCTCGATGAGCCTGCCCCCCTACATTTGCTTGCATTAGCTTTCTTTGGTGGCCACTCAAAGGTTTGTTTGAATAGTGATTCCAGACACCTCAAAATCTAGATCAGCTCAGTGTTCAAATGGACAAGGCAGGGAAAGAACTGGGTGATGTTCAAGTGGCACTTGACAATGACCTTCTGATTCGGTTTGGCACCCTTTTAATCCCCCAGAGAGGGGAAAAATATGGCTTGGGGTTAAGTGACTTGCCCAGGATCACACAGCTAGTAAGTGTCAAGCATTTGGTCTGAGGCAGGATTTGAAGTCAGGTCCTCTGACTTTAGGGCTGGTGCTCTATCCACTGCTCCACCTAGCTGCCCCATAGCACTGTCATGTTTTTAAAATACTGCCATGTTTAACCAAGTTTGTACAAACAATCAAAGTAGACCATAGAAACAAAAAGGAAAAACTTAAGGAGGAGGAAAGAAAGAAATATCAAACTAGTGGCTTTGGGTGAGGATCTATGTAGAGCACATTGGTCCCCACTCTCACCTTGTCTGTATGACCCTGGGCAAGTCCCTTGATCTCTGTTTGCCTCAGTTTCCTCCTCTGTGACATGCACCTACCTTCCTAGGTTGTTGTGAGGATCAAACAAAATAATGTTTGTAAAAAGTGCTTAGCACAGTTCCTGGCACATAGTTGCTGCTTTCTAAATTCTAATTCTCTTCTTCTTCCCTTCCTGTGGTAGAAAAGTGGACATTTTGGTTTCAGTCTCAGGAATATGAGGATGGATATGTGTGTGTATGTTCTGTCTTTGTATGTAGAGTGGGTTCTCGATTGATTCTCACAACCTCCATTGGCCCTGGGAAGCTGGGCCACTGGAGGATAGCTGAATACCCTTCCCCTTGGCATTCTAGTAGTCACCCAAGGGGTTGGGATTTCAAGTACTGTCGCTCACTAACTCCTGTCTGGTATGTTCCCTCCAATATCACTTACCTGGTTAACATTTTCCCACTATCAATGGAGCAATGAACACTGATTAGCTTTTACAAAGGGGCATAAGGTGTTACAAGGAGCAAAGTACAACATCCTCCCCAAACCAAGAGTCTGATTCTTTCATCTGCACATCCATGTGGTCCCTGGGGAAAGCGAACATCAATTTTAAATGGTTGCCCCAAAACATCCCCCCCAAGTAATTTTCTCCCTTCGAGGAGCCCCCAGCAAGTTCACTTCTGGGGGTGGCATAGCCGATAGATGAATTCATTCCCTTACTTATCTAGGCTTGGTTTTTACCCCATGGACATGGTCAAGTAGGTGTACCCTCGGGGATGATGCCTTACCAGTTTGTGCTGCTGCAGCCACTGACAAAATCCCCAAATCCAACTACTGGAAATCTAAGAGCTCTTCTGGCCTTTCCAAGCTCATAAGATTGTAAACTGGTGCATTCTGTCTCTGAATATTCATCCCCCTAATATCAGGAAACACAAGAAACGAAAGAAACAGAGATTCCACACATGCATTCATATCCACCTGGAGCATGTGTAGGGAGATAAGGTGGCTCTGAGTCACCAGGGCTACCTTTTTTCTTTATTTGGAGATGCACAGAATTTCTTCCTCCTCACTTAAAAGCCTCCAGGGAAGAGAATAAGAGAGTCTCTGCTTGAATCTTTTGTATACCTACTCAGTGCAGGCTTAGCAGCCCAATAGAAAGCTTTTCATCACTACATGGTAAGCTGACAAGAAACAGATGGGGGGGGCAGAGCCAAGATGGCAGAGTGAAAGCAGTGACTTGCTTGAGCTCTCCTCCAAACCCCTCCAAATACTCATAAAAAATGGCTCTAAACAAATTCTGAAGCAGCAGAACCCACAAAAAGACAGAGTGAAACAAATTTCCAGCCCAAAACAACCTGCATGATTGATCAGAAAGGTGTATTGTGCTGGGCTGGGAGAGCAGCGCATCGCAGCGTGGGCGCGTGGGCCGCAGCAAACCTGGAGCAGGCCTCAGAGGACTGAATCGCGGGCAGCTGTGCAGGTTTCCAGACTACTCAATCCACAAAAGCCAAAGACAACTTAGAAGGTTAGTGGGAAAGGTCTTTTTCTGTTGGTGCTGAGAAAGGAAGGTGGGGTTTCAGTTCCATTCCCCAAGAGCGTAGCCCTGGGGGGGGGCAGCTGCTCCCCAAGCTTCCGGCACACAGACTGAGGGGGAATCCAGTGGCTGATCAGAGAGGGATCGCAGGGATCTCTTTGCCAGTGCTGAGGCAGGAATCTCTTGCTTTGCTCGTGTGTGGATCTGGGTCACAGTTCTGGGTGGAGGTGCTGGGGTGAGGAGGAGCACTGGCTTGGTGGAGCTTGTAGTGGCTGTGAAGAGGAACCCCTCCTCACAGTTACAGGACAGAAAGGAATACTTGTGGTCACAGGCCAGGAAAGGAGTAAACACCTCACCCCTTATCATACCACCTTGGAAGAACTGAAAATTTACAGGGCCCTACAAGTATCTCTGAAAACAGCTATACAAACCCTCGAAGCTTGGGACAATACATTCTCCACATTGGAAGCAGACTCTTATCTTAACAAAGAGTTTAAAACCCAAGTAATTCACTGGGATCATGAACAAGCAGCACAAAAAGAGTCAGACCATAGAATCTTACTTTGGTGAAAAAGAAGATCAAAATATACAACCAGAAGAAGACAACAAAGTCAAAGCTCCTACATCCAAAGCCTCCAAGAAAAATATGAATCAGTCCCAGGCCTTGGAAGAGCTCAAAAGGGATTTTGAGAAGCAAGTAAGGGAAGTAGAGGAAAAACTGAGAGTGATGCAAGAAAATCAAAAAACAAGTCAACAGCTTGCTAAAGGAGACCCAAAAAAATACTGAAGAAAATAACACCTTAAAAAATAGCCTAACCCAAATGGCAAAAGAGGTCCAAAAAGCCAATGAGGAGAAAAATGCCCTAAAAGAAAATTGGCCAAATGGAAAAGGAAGTCCAAAAATTACTGAAGAAAATACTTCCTTAAAAATTAGAATAGAGCAATTGGAAGCTAGTGACTTTATGAGAAATCAGACACGTAGAACAAATCCAAAAGAATGAAAAATTAGAAAACAATGTGAAATATCTCATTGGAAAAACAACTGACCTGGAAAATAGATCCAGGAGAGAGAATTTAAAAATTATTGGACTATCTGAAAGCCATGATCAAAAAAAAGCCTAGACATCATCTTTCAAGAAATTATCAAGGAAAACTGCCCTGATATTTAGAACCAGAGGGCAAAATAGAAATTGAAAGAATCCACAGATCTCCTCCTGAAAGAGATCCCCAAAGGAAAACTCCTAGGAATATTGTAGCCAAATTCCAGAGTTCCCAGGTCAAGGAGAAAATATTACAAGCTGCCAGAAGGAAACAATTCAAGTACTGTGGAAACACAATCAGGATAACACAAGATTTAGCAGCTTCTACATTAAAGGACGCAGGGCATGGAATATATTCCTTACAACCAAGAATCACCTACCCAGCAAAACTGAGTATAATCCTTCAGGGGAAAAAATGGTCATTCAGTGAAATAGAGGACTTTCAAGCATTCTGATGAAAAGACCAGAGCTGAATAGAAAATTTGACTTTCAAATACAGGACTCAAGTGGAACATGAAGAGGTAAACAGGAAAGAGAAATCATAAGAGACTTATTAAGATTGAACTGTTTACATTCCTGCATGGAAAGATGATATTTATAACTCATGAGACCTTTGTCAGTATTAGGGTAGTTGGAGGAAAAAAATTATATGTATGTATATGTAGATAGATAGATAGAGGGCACAGGGTGAGTTGAAGATTAAGGGGTCATATCTGGAGAATAAAATTAAGGGATGAGAGAGGATTATACTCAGAGAAGAAGAAAGGGAGAGGTAGAATGGGGTAAATTATCTCACAAAAAAAACAGAAAAGAAAAGTCTCTTACAGTGGAGGGGAAACGGGGAAGGTGAGAGGGAATGAGTGAATCTTATTCTCATAGGATTTGGCTTAAGGAGGGAATAACATACACATTCAATTGGGTATGGAAATCTGTCTTACCCTACAGGAAAATAGGGGAGAAGGGGACAAGAGAGCGGGGATGATAGAGAGGAGGGCAGATTGGGAAAGGGGTAATCAGAAGTAAATACTTCTGAGGAGGGACAGGGTCAAAAGAAAGAATAGAATAAATGGGAGGGCAGGATAGGATTAAGGGAAATAGAGTTAGTTTTTCACAACATGTCTACTATGGACGTGTTTTGCATAACTGCACATGTACAACCTATATTGTGTTGCTTGCCTTTTCAATGAGGGTGGGTGGGGAGGGAGGAAGAGAAAAAATTTGAAACCTAAAGTTTAAAAAAATGTTTTCACATGCTACTAGGAAATAAGAAATACAGGAAATGGAGTACAGAAGTCTATCCTGCCCTACAGGAAAATAGAAGGGGAAGGGGATAAGAGAAGGAGAGAGAGATAGAAGAGAGGACTAGGGGAAGGGATATTCAGAATGCATGCCATCTTGGGTGGGGGAAGGGGGGAGATGGGGTGAAAATTTGGAATTTAAAAACTTGTGGGAGTGAATGTTGAAAACTAAAAATAAATAAATTTATATTTAAAAAAAAAGAAACAGATGATACCTGCTCTTAAGTTAGGGGACAGGCTCCTCCGTGACACATGCCCAGAAGCAGGCTCCACATGGGTTGGTCCAAGTTCAAGCATATTATGCATGCTAATGGATGGGGACCTTATTGGCCAGTCTCCCATTACAATCAGTAACAACATAATTATGTTAGTATGCTGAAAAAGTCTAGTGAAGGCTGGAAGACCACTTATCAAGCACATCATGGAGAGGATTCTTATTCATATGTGAACTAGATGACCTCTGATATGATTCCCTGGGATGATATCAACTTTAAAGAAACTACCATTTAATTTTATTTAAAATAAAAACTTCTATATAATTTTATTTAAAATACTGTATTCTGATATGTTTGGAGTATGGTTGTGGAATGTTTTTCCTTTCAGAAACAGGTTGGTTTGTAAAGGTTATAAAAATTCAGAGCTTAGCCAAAAAAAAAAGTGATAATCAAATTGAGTTTAGCTAAGGAATCTAGGGGATATTCACCAAGGGAATAACTTTGCTGCTAAGCATGATGCCAGGATTGTGTGGTTGTGTAGTTGTGTGGTTTGTCCTTCATTCTCAAAGAGTACTGTGACATCAGGGAGATGATGACAAGACTTGCAATTGACTTTGATTTGAGTGAGGGAGGACTGTGCAAGGTCACCAGCCTCAATTTCCCCTCCAGAGCCATCTGGGTCCAGTGGCCAGATATTGATCAGGAGGATTGGAGATAGCCCAGGATGCAGTGAGAGACCTTGGCCTTTTTAAGCTAAGGTCTTTTCAGGTTCTCACTTTGAGTGAGGCAATGCCCATTCAGTGAGTAGACCTATTTAAGAAGTGAGTCAAGGGATGGCCCCTTTAATTATAAAAAAAAAAAAATCATGGCAGGCACTAGAGATACAAAGGCAAAATGAATATAGTACCTGTCCTCAAGGACCCTACAGGAAGCTCCCAATATGTAAACAGAAAAATATAGACACAATCATTTGAGGCAGACAAAAAACAAAGAGTTATCCGTATTTGCTACATCTTGAATTTTAATAATGATTTGGATATAGAGGGGGGGAAAAGCATTTATGTAACTACATATGCTCTCAATTCTACTATATTGTAACAATAAATAGTACATTTTCCAAAAAAAAAGTATGTCTATGATTTCACATGAAGTGAATAGATATATAAAAATGTCTAAATAAGGAGAATTATGTCCCCGACAGAGGTGCTTTCATTGGCTCCTTACACTAAGGAATGGCCAAAATCTTCAGCTGGAGAAACAGCTTATCTTTTACAATCATCCTTTATACCTTTCAGTACACGATGTCATCAGATAAATGAATGACTAGAGGGAAAAGTAAATGTCAAATAGCAACAAAGGATAATCAATAAATAATTCACCCAGTGGACTGGTTCCACCAGTTCCCATTCTATGTCAAGAAATCTAGAGGAAAGCTCAGGACATATTGGGTGGAACTCTATGGTACTTTTGTGGGAAGACATGAACAAGAGTTGCCCAGAAGAGAAAGGCATGGATGGCATATAGACTTCATTACTGAAAAGAGTACCTCCACCAATTCAATTACAGATCCACTTATATGTCAAAGTATTAAAAATGCAAAATTCCTTAGAATTTTTCTTTTTCTTCTATCAGTCATCATTAGCTTCTAGCAGGCTTCTAGTATGGCAGAAAGAGTACCAGCTCTGGAATTAGAGTACAAAGTTAGAGTTTTATTATTTTCAATTATTAATTTTTTATTAAATTCTATTCAGTTATATTAGAGTTAGAGTTCAAATCACACCTCTAACTCCTACTACTTATGTGACCTTGGGCAATTCTCTTAAACTCTC